AATGAACAAGGGTTTTATAAAAAAAAAAAAAAAAAGAGGCATTTTTTGAAATAGCAGTCACTGGAACAAGAACCATGCTGAAACACTTTCTAATTATTCTCTTCGGATTGGCCATTACATAACTGGTGACGGTGGAGCTCACCATGTGAAGACTGACCAGCGTGGAACAAATTATTTTCAGTCCTCTTTACTCGAAACACATTTGAAATATCATTAGCAATGAAGACATAAAGGTGCTGTAAGCTGTTTTTTTGGAATACCATAAAATGTCCCTACCTGGGAGGTGATCATCTTGAGAAATTATAAGACTATCCCAGGCTCAGCAGCAAAAAAAGAGTCATTAGAGCAGCCTGCGCTTTTTCAGCCGATCAGGAACAGTCCCTTGCTTACATAGGAATTTGGAAGTAGTGTTGTTGAAATGACCAAAGTGGCGGAAATGACTAAAATGTCTGAAATCACTTTAGGACTCAAATAGTTCTGCTTAAAATAAATAATAATAAACATGTCTTGTAACTTTTTTTTTTTTTTTATCCAACCAACAGCGCTAAGGTCCATTAGGGAAACCAATTAGAAGAGTAGCTGCCATGTATAACGCAAGATTGGGTTTATACAGAAATGCCATGTGTAACTCAACAGTAAGAATACAGGAAAAATATTTGAAGTCTTTAGATAGAATGTAAGGACATTGAAAATCGATTAGTAGTGAATGAAATTATAAATTTTAAGCTCTTGTTTAGAACTTGAATGACGTTTACACAGAAGTATGGTAGTCCGTATTCGATATTGTGTTTTGGTATAGAATAAAAAGGATTGTGGGGCCATATCGAAGAACTCTAATCCATCACCACAAAATAGCATCTAAGCTTCATAGATAGAAGGTAGAGAAAAGGTGGTTGTTATGTAACTCCATCTGACTAATGTTTGCAGGTGTAGAAGGCAAAAGGTTTGGCACAAGACGTGCCCTTAGATTTATGCCCAGTAGAACCATTGATGTCTTTCACAGTAAATTCAAGTGATGCTAGGTCATGAGCCTGTTGCCTGAAGTACCGATGCGGCCAACAGCAGTGCAAAACTAAAAAGTGGTCAATGCCTATGTCATGGACATCATTATAAAATAGATTCTGGACCAGTTTTTGACAGTTTAAAGGCACAATATGTAAGTTTTCACTGCAGGGGTCGCATTTTCAAAACAATAACACTATATGACGAAGCTTGATGACGCTAAGTAGAGTGGAATGATGGGAGATGTCGTTTTCACCATCCAGACTCATGTTCACAGATGAGGTAATGAATTAGTTTTTATTACTTGTATGTTTGATGATCACACTATTTATGTCATCCTAATAAATTAGCTGCAAGGAATGTGATATTTAATGCTATATTAGTCTGATACTGATATGTGACTATTTGTCCAATGATTTGGTGGGTTAATGCTGCAGGTTTTTACACTGCCATAGACTTGTTCACCAGACTTGGTAAAAAGCGTTACTGACGTACAAACAAACTGCAATATTATGAACAATTACGAACGCATAAATGTGATCCATGATGACTAAACGTCACAACAGCGGCATGCTAGATGCTGTATAACCACCACTTCCACATTTGTCCACGTGTGTTGCCATAGTTTCTTCAAGCGGAAACCGAGGATATCGCAGAAATAACATCATTGACAGGCGACAATGACAAAGGATGAGCCATTTAAAACTGGAAATTCTCTGGATTTACAAATCCTTTGAACTTTTGGGATAATGTAAGTACACAACTGCATGAAATATATCACACTGTGGAAATGGTTTATGGATATTTTATTACAAAAATGTTACATGTTGTGCCTCAGTCATGATGAATCAAAACCCTTCATTTTGTGAACGTTATCTGACTTGACCCATATTTAGGGCTTTCCATAACCACCCCTCCAGGGTTGATGTGGGTCATGCAGCCGGAGGACGCCAAATCACAAGCAGGTGCTTGGACTCTGCAAATACTGTGCTGTCACAAAAACTTCATCTAGAATGCCAAGGCAAAATTAAAAGCCTCTCATTGTTTCTTTTAGCATGTGTTTGTGAACGTGGTTGTCAAGAATTTCCTTATTACCGTCCTTTCACACACACCAGAGTTTTTTTTTCTGAGATAGAAACTGCTGGTATATTCACAGAGAATGTCAAGTGAGATGTTAATTACAGTGCAAAAACTTTTTCAGCAGATTATGAACATGGTCATACTCGTACACATTCCTGTATATAGGAACCTAGGGACTCGTTTATAAAATGTTGCAGAGAAATAGTCATTTAAACTGAGACCATTTCTCTAATGTGCATACGTGTGATTCAGAGAACTGAACGTACACACAAAAAACATGCGTACGCCTCTCTTCCAGATGTAAAATCTTTAAATTGTAAATGATCTTGACATTAAGTTCCTCTTCAGGAACTCGAGCTCCGTCGGAAACGCTAGGGGAACGCCTTCTGTGACCACGCTCTGAATAACATGTGAAATCAGTCCAATAGCTGAGCGGGACGTCACGGGCGGGTGACGTCATGACCAGGAAGCTATAAAAGCACGTGCGGCGGAGCCAGCGTCAGCTTTCTGTCATTCAGCGAAGCGCTTTGTGTGTGTCAGTCATATTTATTGTTGTCTGTCAATTGTGAAAGTCTATAAGCTCCAGCTATGTCTAAGCTGATGCAAAGACAAAGCATTTCAAGGGCGAGAGCAAGCCACGTTGTAGGTTGTGTGTTCCTCCCTGCCCAAAGAAAACGTTATATCACGAGTGGGGATACACACAGCTTGTGCGTGGTTTGCTTGGGAGCGAAACATAGTTGTTACTGCCTTGCTTCGCTCTCAGAGGGCTCTCTTTGAGGAGGGAGCCTTCCTTAGGACTATCCTCCATTCAGAGCTCCCTCTATGAGGAAATTGTATTTCTGCGGAGACCGCCAGCCCGACCCAGCTAACTGCCCGTTTGGTACAGTTCTGGAGTTCCTGCAGGCCTGTTTATCCGCAGGGTTGACCCACTCCACCCTAGAGGTCTTCGTGGCGGCCATTGCGGCCTACCACGCCCCTCTCGGTGGCCATTCAGTGGGAAGACACCCTCTTCTTACACGTTTCCTCTGCGGTGCGCTGAGGCCGAGGCCTCCGGCCAGAGAAGCTTATGCTAAGTGGTGGATCAGGATGCTATTCCATAGACTCGAGTCCTCTGATCTCCCCTGTCCTTTGGGGGTCAAGATTCACTCCTCCAGAAGTTGGCCTTCGGGATGGCGGGCCCCGCCTACTTCTCTCGCCCTAGCTGTGCAGTCTTCCACACTAGGCAGAGATTTGGAAGTCTGGCGGCGTGGGCATTCTCGTTCCCCTAGCGTTTCCGACGCAGCTCGAGTTCCTGAAGAGGAACGTCTTAGGTTACGTATGTAACCCTAGTTCCTCGAGGGAACGAGACGCTGCGTCTCGGTGCCATACTTCCGGCATCCCTGCCAGTGCTTGCCTCATTCCTGAAGCTGACGCTGGCTCCGCCGCATGTGCTTTTATAGCTTCCTGGTTATGACGTCACCCGCCCGTGACGTCCCGCTCAGCTATTGGACTGATTTCACATGTTATTCAGAGCGTGGTCACAGAAGGCGTTCCCCTAGCGCTTCCGACGCAGCGTCTCGTTCCCTCGAAGAACTAGGGTTACATACGTAACCTGAGACGGTTTTCTGAATGGTTTTAAATTTCTGCCTTGTGAATGCCCCTGATTAATGTCATTAGCACATAAAAGAGCACCAGTCAACATCCAATTCCTTGACTTAAGAATGGAGTTTTTGTAAATCTGAACGTTGACGAGGATTTTAGCGTACGCACACTCCAAGGTCAAATATGTACGTTTCATAAATGAGGCCCCAGATTTAATCTGTACTTTATTTACCGAGTTGAATGGTAGTATATGCACATATACACTACAGTTCAAAAGTTTGGATCAGTAAGATTTATTTTTTTCTTTTATGCTCACCAAGGCAGCCAAAATATAGTAAAAACAGCAATATATGAAATATTACAAATTGAAGTAACAAAATATAATTAATATTTTAAAGTGTAATTTATTCCTGTGATGGCAAAGCTGTTACACCAGTCTTCAGTGTCAGCTTCAGAAATCAAATATCCTGTTATCAATATTGAAAACCGATGTGCTGCTTAATATTATTGGGGAAACCTTGATACATTTTTTTCAGGGTTATTTGATGAATAGAAAGTTTAAAAAGAACAGCATTTTTTAATCAGTTTAATGCATTCTTGCTGAGTAAGAGTTCTTAATTTCTTTTTTAAAATAAATTTTTTTTAAAAAATTTTTTAAAAAAAAAAAAAAAAAAAAAAATAATAATAATAAAATCGTTATTGTACATGTGTGTTGGAATATTGTATGGCAAGTACATAAGCCAGAATGAGTATTTAGCAATTAGAATGGAAGCAATGAATTTAAACAAACTTGGAGTGTTAGGCTGTAACCATTTACTGTAAAACTTGATGTACGTAATGTTTTTACAAAACATCATTCAATAAATCTGAATTGGCACAGAAACGGATGATAAAAACCAGTGAAGAGATACAAAACGACTAATACATTTGTCTTTATGAAAATAAACACAAAACATACAGTTTAAACCATGTGTTGGTTGAATAGCACTTCAAAAATATTTTTAGTTTCAAGCTACATTTGAAGTCTACCAGCATTCTGTCTACAAAACATTATGAATTCATATCAATGCATGTTTCTGCCAATTAAAATACAATACAGATCCAATATCCAAAAGGCACAAGATACGACTAAAACTATAGGCTTTAAAAAAAGAATATAGAGTATATTTCAATAAGACATGGTCACAAAAGCGAACACTACGAGGCTCAAGTCAAATAACTACTCGCACACACATTGATATTACAAATGTACAAATTGACACTTTTTATGGTAACTGTCATCGATACAGAATCTGGAAAAAGCATCAGGACTACTGAAATATCACGCTTTCTTTCTGCTCAAACAACTGAACACCAAAGATTGAATATTGTATACAAAATGGTAGCTGCACATATCTGAAACAACATCCAACAAACGAATCAACCCATGCTATATTGATTTTTTTTTTTACCCATATTTCATTTTGCACGGAAAACATGCAAGTAGCACAAAGAGCAATCTGGGACAGACAGCCAATATTGTCTTATGGATAAATGCGTCACTACAAACTCTCAGACCATGAAGTAATTGAGTTTGAGCTACAGCCGGCGGTCACAAAAATGGAGAGAGTGAGATAAGCGGCAGACTGTCTCGAGGGAAATGACATCAGCGAACGATATTGCAACCTAGTTTTTGTAACACAATGCGATTTCTTTCGCTGTTTGTACATTAACAGTTCATACGAACAGTTTATGGAAGAGCTTATTCCCTCGACTAGCCCCCTTCCTGTATTTCATTATCTTCAGTCATTCAGCTCATTGTCCACTGCAGTATAAAAGGTTTTTACTTTGGACCACGTGAATCATCCAAAACAATATTGCACAACACTTATTAAAACTTTTTGTTCCCTACAAAATCATATTGGAATGGAGCAGCTTCGAGACTTGTTTGACTGATTGCCAGGTGCAATATCACACGAAGGAAGCGAAGATACGAGATCGTTACAACCACCAAACAAAACAAATGCTACATATTCCAAAGTTTCAATCAAGGCTCATGCCATAGTCACAAGGTGTTCATAAACTTTGTTTGGGAGACTATTAGGCACATACAACTATGGCATCAAGTTATGGAGAAAATTCCATAGTATAATTCCAACAGCAATAAAATGGGAAAGGCTATGGAAATATCACCTTCCTCCCACTCTATTAAAATGTGACCCATCTGACATTTCTTCCATATGTCACAATCAAAAGAAGAATGTTAAACCCAAAGAATTCACATACAGCTCTTTAGATCAAATTGAAGAGTGGTTCGGAGAGCTGGGCAAGAGGCACAGTTTACAAAATTTAGCAGCATTACACATACAGCAGAAAAGAGGGCTAGGAAAACAGGGCTACTCTTCACATATACACGTATTCAAGACAACACGCTAAAGCACATCAGATTAGTCAGTCAATGCACAACAACCCATTAACAGGGTTTCATGGTTGTTTTGTGCCAGTCAGATTCAGTGTGTTTTGTTTCTGCTCTGAACACACATGGAAGTAGTAACACGGTCTTTCACATTTTTAGGAGCGGTCCTCAGAGGACTGAAGCTTCCCAGTTTATAACAGGTTTGTTTTAAATAGGAGAAAAGGAAGTCGCATAATAAATGGAGACCATCAATCATGGTTGAACATAATAAAAAAAAAAAAATTATACAATTTGATTCTTTTCAACAGACTGCCACAAAACAGTTAAAAACAAGAATTATGTAATAAAAAGTCACATTTTTTTATTTCAAGTTTTTTTTCTTTTTTTAATTTAGAACTATGATCATCTATCAGAGATATTTCTATGTAAATCCAAATCAAATGAGATACTACAACAATTTTAAAGTAACCCCCACAAATTAAAAGGCATTGCACTTTTTCATAATGAAACACCAAGTTTTTAAGCTGTTAAATCATACACTCTCAGAAAAAAAATACTAAAGTTGTCACTGGGGCGTTACCTTTTCAAAAGGTACTAAAATGAACCATTTAGGTACTAATTAGAGATGCACCGATTGCAATTTACTTGGCCGATTCCGATTTCCAATTTTTTTGTAAGTGTGGCCTGCCGATTCCGGTTTTCTTTCTAAGAACTATAATTGGCATCGTATAAAAACAAAAATCTACTTTTTTTTTTCAATGCAAAAAATAAATAAATAAAAGAAAATAAAAGAAATACATAATAAAAGAAATCATTAAACATTACAGTTTCCCCCCAATCTGGACTAAGTTACAGATGCTCTCTCACTTAACCAACTCTCAAAATAAAGTGCTCTGTGACTGGAAAGAGGTAGAAATTAGTTGCTGTATATCAGGGGTTCCCAACCACATACCTGAAGCCCCCCCAACACTGCATGTTTTCCATGTCTCCTTAATAAAACACACCTGATTCAGATCATCAGTTCATTAGTAGACTCAGAGACCTGAAATGGGTGTGTCAGGAAAAAAAAGAGATATGCAAAATATGCAGTGGGAACCACTGCTGTATATAACAAAACAGATGTCATTTCCCACTGTTTATAAATGGGCATTTTTCCCCTAACCTTATTAAATGTATGTCTCATCTTTCACATCAAATTCTTAAATTGTGTCAATTAATTCAGTTAGAATAATAAGAAACTGTAGAGTTGTTACCATTCAAATGAAATCAGTATTAACAAACTCTATCCTTCCACTGCAGAGGAAACAGAAGCTGCATCTGAAGTGGCATTAGATGTATTTTTATTAGGTTTGATTTAGCTGAGGTGCCATAAATGCATTTACACCGCAAAATTACAAATGCATAACTAATGGGAAAAAAGCAAGGATACTTTTAATATGAAACCAAACCACCAGTAGTTGGCAGCAAATACCTGTTTTAATGAGTGAGTCATTTAGTCATTCATTCAACCGATTTCTTCAAATGCCTGATTCATTCATAAACGAGGCAATTGACTGTCTTTATAAATGGGATACTGAATCATTGACTCACTCTATTCATTCAAAAACGTGGATTCATTCAGTAACGAAATACCGCTGTGTTGCTTGGAGACACACAACAGTTCTGCTGTGGCTTTGATTGGAACTATTTTCGTCAGCGAAATTGAGCAAAAACAGTAAATTTTGTATCTAAAAAGTCATTTAATTTTAACTTGTTTATTGAACTACTATGGTATAAAATCAGTGTCACATTGCAATCATGTTGATATTTGGGGAAACATCTTGGTCGTGTAATGTTGCTTACCTTCTGCAGCAGTATGCTTCTCTAACTTTCTGTGAGTTACTTTGTGTGTGTTGTTGCACTCATTTGTTTTGATTTCTGCACGAGTCTCTCTCTCTCTCTCTCTCTCTCACTCTGCACAAGCCTCATCTGTCAAGACATCAATACATTATCAGTCTCCGTTTACACTGAATGCAATAAAATCACAATCATTCTCACGCGAACATTTTTGATGGCCAAGTTTCCTTAGTTATTTTTGTTATTGACGTTTTAATCAGACTTCTTGTCCAGTCGGGCAAATCGGCCGGGAGCTATCGTTCCCCAAAGATCCAGCTTTAACCGGCTATAACTCCAGAGCGTTGCGGTGGGACAGGGCCGAGGAGACCTAAATTAAACATGTTTAAAAGCATATTTATTTATATAGCATATTTAGTAAATTTATATTTCACATTAGCTTACATTTTATGTAATATTAATTCAACTTTATGCAAGAAATGCTGATTAATTTACTAACTCTTGCGTGTGGAGAACCCGCCCCCATTTGGAGTTCACACCCAGTTTTGGAAGTCACACCCCATTTTGGAGGTTTACTCTGGCCTTATACGTATAACAAATTGCGAACTTTGTGTCTTCTTCACTCACAGTGAAGAACTTCCATGTTTACACGCGGATGTGAGTCGCATGAGCGTAGCTGTGACATCAAAATGGACTGCTCAGAATCGGCACGACGTGAGACTGACCAGCCGGTCACCGGTCTGGGCTGATCATGCGGAAAATCGTCTAATTCCGGTCCCTGGCCCATTGATCAGTGCATCTGTAGTACTAATATATACATTTTAGGTACTAATACTTTTAAGATATTAATATGCACACTTTACAGGTAAATAAAGTACAAAGGTGTACCTTTTTCAAAGGTACCGCCCCAATGGCAGCTTTTGTACCTTTTTTCTGAGAGTATAATAGGCCGTCAACAACAGAAGTATAGCGTGTGCAACAGGACATTGACTGTTATTATACATGTTTACAGGTATGGAACGTTTTCACTCAACTGTAATTGACACTAGTCTTTTCTTCTTCTTTCTTCCACCTCTGTCCTTCTCTCCCTCGTCTTCCTCTGGGTCTTGCAGAGAGGTCACAGCAGCAGTGGACTTCGGATGGTCCACTTGTGCGGCCTCTCCTCCGTGCCCTGACCTGGGGTTTGGGGTTTGGGAAGGAGGTGCAGAAGTGTGGTTGTCATAGTTCATGGTAGAGGAAACTTGAGAGATAACTGTTGTTTGGACTGAGGAAGAGGAGGAAGAAGCTTCAAAGGTCTGCTCACTCATCTCAAAGTGTCCCAGCCCCTCTTCCTCTTGCATGTGACTCAGGTAGTCTGGGAGGAGGAACTCACTAGGGCAACAAAGGGAGAGATGGGCCAATGTTCAGAAAATCATATCTGCCACCAATAATAACTCCACATAAGACGTAAAACGTCTCGGTTACGTATGGTAACCCTCGTTCCCTGAAGGAGGGAACGGAGACGTCACGTCGGATGACCGATGAGTTGGGATCTCGCTTAGAGAGACCAATCTACTTCGAGTGTAAACTAAACGAGCCAATGCACATTGGCATGCGATTATCGAGGCAGAGGCAACGGAACTCCGCCCCTTGAGGAAACGGAGCTTGGCCCGCGACTCCGAGATGATCATCTTCCCGTAACGAGAAGATGACTCATCCACAAACGCCCCCTCAGCGTGCTACATGCCCAGGAACGTGAGGCAGCGATCGTGACCATCACCCAGCGCCAGGTAACGACCGCATCCAGAAACGCCCGGGTGATACGTTGTCTATAGCAAGACCCACATCGTCTTTACAAAGACGTAACGTCAAGTTTGCCACACAACGTCGTCTTTAAAAAGATGCACCCGAAATTGCTCTTTTAGGGAAAAAGCTCTTTTAGCGTGCTGAGGTGCACAGGGGAGATGATCATCTGCAACACAAACGGGGTAGTGCAACCTGATGTGTGCAACCCACTCGACACGGGAAACCACCACCACTGAAGCGCCGTACCGCCAACACGAAGAGCTCTCCAAGAGCGCGCTGAACTCGTTCAGTCTTCTTCTCTCAGTAGAGTAGTCAGGAGCAGAACGATGTGATCGCTCGGCTCCGAAGCGAAAAGCTGAATATGCGCTGCATCTACTGCCTACTTATACTCACGCTGTGATCAGCGGCAGCTGGATGCAATAATCGCATGCCAATGTGCATTGGCTCGTTTAGTTTACACTCAAAGTAGATTGGTCTCTCTAAGCGAGATCCCAATTCGTCGGTCATCCGACGTGACGTCGAGAGTGACCGACTGAAAGGGAACTGAAAAGTTTAATAAACTTTCAGAATCTTAGTACCTTCATTTATTTCTAAGTACTATAATCTCAAACATTTTTATACAAAAATACTTGCTTAATGGGACTAAAACACAAAAGTAGGTAAAAGTAAAAGTTATTGCTTTCAGTCTCCTCTGTGAAGCCACAATCTGAGGATGTCAATCCACTCAGACACAAGTTCAAAAGTTATTTGTCAAAAAAATAAGTTTTTATGATTCATCATAGATTGTGTTCCAAGTTTGGTATATGAGTCTAAGAATCTTTGGATCCTCTTTTTTTTTTTTTTTTACGGACAGCCAGTCCTAGCATGTTCAAGTCTAACAATACATTTTGGCAAAATGTCCTCTGGCAAAACAGTCCAGCTATCTAAACAAAAGTCAAAATTGAAGTTTTAAAACTAGATTGAGGATCGTGGCTTGGCAGAAAAAGTGATATAGCAAGCGATCACAATTCAAACACTAATAGCTTAATCCATGAATAGGATTTAGACATAATTTCCTATTTTTTCACAGCAAGATGTTGCACTCTTGACACTGATTTCCAAATGAAAAGTTCTTAACAGAAACTTTAAGTTAGGTATTAAAATTATTTTTTTTTAATAATTATTACAAAAATTTATTTAAAATATATTTTTAAAATATGTGAGACATCTAAATAACCAAGTTAGCAATTTGTACGTTTTTTCTCGACTTAAAATTACACTTAAAAATTAAGTCCCTGAAAGTAAATATCTCTGAAAACTATGGCTGTAATGCTGGCTGTTTCTTGCAATCGCAACACATAAAATTTTATCAGCATACAGTACACGACCACTCCCTTTCTTAATAAGCACATGCCAGAGCCAAACTATTGCCTCAGCACTGTAACTTGCATAGACGCTGTTTATTTGTGCCTGACAAAGATGAATAGAACACAGATCCTAAGAGAGAGGGCTTAAATTAAATAAACGGTTGGATGAAATAAGGGAATCTACGTGTAGCAGGAGCTCAATGAATAAAAGCACCTGACTCCATTCCCTCTGCTTTAATGAAGGGCTACCGTCATGAAGATTACCTCAGAAGAATGTCTCTTAAGAGTCTCCTCAGAACCATAGACAATGATTCCACTGAGCTTTTTTGAGAACTTCACATTAAAAAAACCTATTCAGCATAGGGCTGGACGATATGGCCAAAATTGATATCACGATATATTTCTTAATTTCGGTCGATACGATATAATTCCGATATCGATATGAACACTATTTATCTGAAATAGAAATCTTTTGTAACATTATAAATGCCTTTATCATCACTTTCGATCAATTTTAAGCATCCTTGCTAAATAAAAGTATTAATTTCTATAATTTCTTTCCCCAAAAAAATAATAAAATTTATACTGAATGGAATAGTGTATAATGTTACAAAAGCTTTTTATTTCAGATAAATGCTGATCTTTGGATCTTTCTATTCATCAAAGAATCCTGAAAAAAAAATGTACTCAACTGTTTTAAATATTGATACGCTGCAGAAAACAAAAAAATTGAACAACAACAAAAACTGGAAATGTTGCTGGAGACGGGCTTATTTAAAATGCAAACTGATTGTCTGCCAGCAGGAGGCGCTTTTAGAGTGATAAAACTAGCGGTTTCTCCAGTAATGGCTGTAATCAAAGCAGCTCCGCTCATGAATGCTACTTTATCAGATCAAATGAAAATGCCATCGAAACTTTTCTGAAGACAGTCGGTTCCCTTCAGAGATACATTCATATAAAACACCCGTGCCGTGTTATGATTTTGAAACGTGCAGTGCTCATGTTTATTCAACGAAGTCAAACGGCACAAATAAATCAATGTATGGGAAACTGGTAATGTATATCGAAATATCGGAAATGTGTTTAAAAATCATATCACCGTTATTGAAAATAATAATATCGCGATACATATTGATATTGAATTATTGTCCAGCCCTAATTCAGCAGTAATTAGCTGATGTAGGATTGATTTCCCTGCTCACTCCAAATGTTTACATCTCAGTGTTTCTTTTCCTAATACACAGTCCAACTCTCACTACTTCCAAAATGGAATCAAAGCCATGATTATTCCATTTCGAAAATACTTGTTTTCAAACAGGAAAGCCGCTTAGTTGGTTTTCTCTGGAGAACACATCTAGGAGGATTACATGTGCCATTTTGAGAACAGAATAAAAGGAAAACTGAAGGGTGTGTGCCCATGTGTTAAAGCTAGTCAGAAACAGATCAACATTGTACTTGTCATAATACTAATCAGGAGAGTCAATAGAGGAGATGCTTTGATTTCCTGAAAGCTCTATTCATCGAATAACGTTCTGCCAAATGCAGCACAATGCAACTGGGTGTAACCCTGGACTGCGGTAAACCTCTTAAAACTAAGCAGGAAAGACATTTCATCTGAGGGATGGATTTTGTCAATAACACCTCAATGAGAAAAACCTGTCACCTTCAGCTGTCTTTGAAAATACACAATGTTTAACCAGGAACACTTTACAAAAAGGTTCAATCAGTTGACATTAATGCATTAGGTATCAATTGATTCATCCAGGTTAACTACTGGTCATTGTTAATTAATGTATGTTCACAATACATGACCTAATGTTAATTTGTTAATAAATGTAAACTCCCATTCAAAAGTTTGAGGCCAGTAAGATTTTATTAAAGAAATTGATACTTATATGCGGTAAGGATGCATTAAATTGATCAAAAGTTACAGGAAAGACTTATGTTGTTAAAATTTTTATGTCAAATAAATGCTGTTCTTTTGAACTATTCATCAAAGAATCCTGAAAAAAAATGCATCACGATTTCCACAAAAATCGTGTTCAACCTTGACAATAAGAAATGTAACCTGAGCACCAAATCAGAATAATAAAATGATTTCTGAAGGATCATGTGACACTGAAGGCTGCTGCAAACTCAGCTTAGCCATCACAGGAATATATTCATTTAAAAAAATAAATAGAAAATAGATCTTTTAAATTGTAGTAATATTTCACAATATTACTGTGTTTTTGGTCGAGCATAAGAGATATATAAAATCTTGTACGTAACTTTTGAACGCAAGTTTATTTTTCTTTGTGAAATTAACATTAATCAATATTAATACATGCCTTAAAGTACTGTTTACTGTTAGGTCATGACACCTAATGCATTAACTAATGTTAACGAATTAAACCTTATTGTAATTTTACTTAATACACATATTGTTCAATGCAGTTAGATCATTTCTACCCCTAATTCAAAAAATGCTTCTGCTACCTCAACATGGGATGAACGGCCGACCGAACAAACTAAATTTGTACTTCTACAAATTTTCTTAGAATGTTCAGCTCCTCCTCACCTGTTCTGGAAGTAGTTTGCTAGTTCTGACGCCTCATGGTTGAGACTCCTCAGGTGTACGATTAAATTGCCGGAGTTGGTAAACATGGCGCCGCACGTTTTGCACTCGTAAATCCGAGGCTTGCGGATGATGTGGCGAGACACCCTCATGTGATGCTTATATTCACCGAAGGAAGTGAAAGTGGCGCTACAGATCTGGCACCGGAAACAGCGTTTACCTTCGTGCTTCAGCCGGTGCATCTTCAGGGAGTAAGCCCGCGTAAACTTTTTCCCGCAGCGGTCACACTGGAATGGCTTAATACCTGTAGAAGAAAGATGTAAAAGATTACAGTCAACTATATCGGAAAACCGGGGATAATGGGTAAATAATGATGATAATGAAGTTGAATGAGACTGAAAGGACTGTAACAAGAATGTGTCTTTGTTTAAGTAGGTTGTGTGCTAACTGAGCTACACCTGCTAAAAAAAAAAAGACAAAATAACTAAACACATCATTCTACTCATGCAAATAAGCCAGGATGTTTATTGTGAAGGTTCAGTCTAGCAGTATATGTCATGTAGTTCACATAAGCCACAACTAAACCAATTGCATGCAATCACTTTCACCAGTCCATAACTAATCGCCGTAAAGAGGAGTTCTGTTTGGACATTCAACAGCAAACAAAACGGCACCTCTGTATAAACTAGCAAGTAGATTAGGGTGAATCATAACGTACTCTTCTCCAAACAAGAAGTTTATGTAATACAGGGCCCGATATTAAGCTTTTCCATGTTCTTGTGTGAAAGCTTATGTCAGCTGTCCTAAAACATTTTAACAATAAAGCTTCAGTAGTTGAAGTCTTAGCAAAATGCTCATAGACACAAGTAATCCACAGAGGTCTGCAAACACTACATGACTTAATAAGGTTATAGTGACAATAATATAGTGTTTTTACTCTTAAGTAGGCTGGGTAATATGGCCAAAAATAATATGACAATTTTTTTCCACATCATACGATATCAATATTTATCACAGTATTCGTTTACCATTAATTGAAACATGAATGAAAAAAATACCTTGGTTGTATGATACTGCTTAAAAATAATATTATTATTATTATAATAATTATTATATATACGATTTTACTTTGAGAAGTACATTTTCATACACAATAGTAATATATTTCTGTCATTTCGTCAAGTTAAATTGAACTTTTATTTTGACGGGTTGTTATGAAGATCGTTGAGTTTCAGTGTGTAGTTGACAGTAGTTTTTCTCAAATGAAATGGTGAAAAGCTTGTGAAGTGACTCAACTCTGATGGAGATGAAGTTCATGTGTTCATGTCTTTATATATTGAGATGGCAGATGCTGAAATTAGTGATATTAGTGGCATGCACTGATTTGCTGTTGTGTTTATTTCTGCTGTGTGACAGATTCATCCATAGACTAAAAATGCCCAGAGCTTATCATTATCGACATCAATTTTATTGTAATCTCAATATGATACTGTTTATTGCCCAGCCCTACTTGAGTCCCCTTGAAAAAAACAACATGTAAAAAAAGTTCTCTTTCTGTTCACACGCAATGCCTCTGTCAATGTGGAGTCCTATAATAGCAGAGGTTCTCTCACCAGAGTGGATGAGCATGTGCTGCTTGAGATTCTGTATTCGAGTGAAGCGGACGCCACATGTAGGGCACTGGAAGGGCCGTTCAGGACCGTTGAGTCCTGGGCGAGTGGAGGGGCTAATGTACAGGTGGTATGGGTACTGGACGTTCTCCAGCCTGGAGAAAGAGTGACAGGAAAAGAGGAAAAGTGACTAATTAGATGAGCCAACTGCACACGGAGACTTAGTTGTCATTAATGAAGAGAAATATAGTGCTTTTCAATAAAAACTCTTCTATATTCTGTAATTATTTTAAGTTGACCAAAAAATATTTATCTAAATGTCTGCATTATATTATCTACACTAAATGAAAATAACTGAAGAAAACAATAAGCAACCATGGCAAGTGTGCCTCCGTCATCCCAAAATTCTGAAAAAGTCATCTTAAATTGTAGTACTTTTCCACAATAAACAGTTTTTACTGTATTTTTGATATGTTGAGAATAATTAAGAGTCTGTAAAATGAGAAAAACAAAAACATTTTTGTTCAATAGCTCAGGAACGTTGTTAAAAATAAACTCCAGCAATGCATTTCTAATAGTCTGATCTTTTGGAATGGTGGGCAGTTTTTGAAGCTTGAAGCCATTTGTCTACATCTAGGCAACGCTGGACGGTCCTACTAGACAACAGTATTGCTCTTGTGACTGATGGACAGACCTGCTTGTTTAGCATGTTAAGGGGTGTGTAGAGGAAAACTGTTACGTCACGAATGGGATGAAACTTGAAATACATTTTTAATGTAAAGTAACAGTAACCTCTTATATGTGTAGCAAAATATATCTAATATATAGCACATCTAGGACATTTGATTTTCAATTTCATGACCACTTTAAATTAATAAAGGGAAATTTGGGTGGGAATATGTCACACTGTTTTAAGTAAACTAGTCTTCAAATTGCCTACTGAGTATTTTACTTGTATTCATGCTACCATTACTCTTTCCTTTGTCTACAGATCCACAGAGATCACCCCACAAAGGTTTAAGGCTAACATATCGCACATTTAGTCAGGCACATCAAGTTGTCATATAAAAGCAGACTTCACTGCTCAGACGGAAAGCAGTGTCTTTTTTATCCCATTTGTTTTGCATCATATCATTTCCCTACTCTTCCAGTATTCCAAAAGGCAAATTCAGGTCCAAGAAGTTTCCAGAAAGTCTGCCAACTAGCTTCTCTGGCCTCTTGGCAAGAAATCATCATCTTAATAGCCACTACAATATCACAGAAGCCTCTACTGCTTAGAAATAAGTATACTTGAGGAGGACAGACAATGATGAGAAGACTGAAAAATTATGTCCCTCCTCAGAGGGGCCCTTTAGTTCAATCATAAAAGTGAGACGACGTAAAAGGATACTCTGTAAAAACAACACAGACACTCAAAGGGCTCTTACCTCTCATCCTCCTCCATGTGACCAGTAGTGTTCGGAGTGCCCTGCATGGATTGGAGACCCTCTGTCACCCCCTCATCCAGGGAGCCTGAAGAAAGTGCAGAACATTGTTTTTGAACCTCTATTCCAGTTAAACTCAGTGTGTCAGTGTGATAAATACTGTATGAGGTATATATGTTAAGTAAACATAAGGCTGATCCAGCGAAAGGGCAGGAAAATAATGTCTGATAATCTAGTGACTCACTAAAGACAAATACACTTGGGTCAATGACATATATTTATTTACAATAAAAAAATTTTACATATGTTTTAAACTTGATTTCTAAAACACTTTTCCAAGTTCTTATAAATGTACTCCTTGTATTCTGGTTGATTTCATATGGTTTGGAAGATCTTTTAGACCATTTACAGGAAGGTTTCAGTTTAATGACTTAAATGTCATGTGCAATCAAGGAAAAAAAATCACATGTATATGTAAACATCATAATTGCAAAAGGGTTTTGAAATAAACACTTCTATGCATCATTTTAGGGCTAGTAAGATTTTTCTTTGTTTTGAAAGAGGACTCTTGCTCACCAAGGCTGCATTCATATGACAAAAATAAGTAAAACTAATATTGTAAAATAATTTCACATTAATTACAATAACTGTTTTCTGTTTTGTTATTTATTCCGGTGAGGCCAAAGCTGAATTTTCAGAAACCCTTCAGAAAATATTCTAATATGCTGATTTGGAGCAAGAAACATTTATTATTATCAATGTTGAAAACGGTTTCTGATATTTTATTATTCTTTTAATCCATTTAATACATCCTTACTGGATGAAAGTATTAATTTCGTAAAAAAAAAAAAAAAAAAAAAACATTTACTGACCTAACACTTTAAAAAACAGTTTTTTTCTAACTGTATTTTTCAAAATTTTTATTTTTATTTTTTTTTTTATGAATTATTAATAATAAATAAACGTCATTACGTATTTGGGAGTCACACCACATGATATTTTACAAAATAACCAAAATATAAAAATAAATTTAGGGTATCACTATTAGGTAAGTGTGTAAGACTAAAGAGTCTTACCAATGGATGAGGACTGAGGGCTGATTAGTAGATCCTCATGGGTGTGTTCATTGCCAGGAACTGTGGTTAGGACAAAAACTACAAGGAAAAGATACTTTTTATCGCGTCGTGTCTGGTTGGGACACACGGTGTTACAGTTTGTTTTTGTTTATATTTTGTTTGTTTATATCCAGTTCCCATATCAAAGGTTTAGATTCATGCATTTGGTTCACACTTGAATTTCTCATCACCAAAAACTGCGTATTTTGACAGGTTGGACGTGGCCTGCTATTGTAAACTAGACGATGTGTAAACTAGAGTTAGGTTACGATTAATACACGAAAAACCCGAGACTTAACAATGTGACATTACCAGAAACGTGTGCATAAAATATACTCAAGAATATCAACATGCATTACGGTTTTCAGAGTCCAAAAACAAGGTCCAGCTGACCTGCAGCATTCATTGGCTAACACGCTAATCTCTGATGATGACTAAAACAGTGTCGTCAGTGTCAACACAGTGTACGAAACATTTCTTGTGTTGGATGTATATCTGTGCAGCTCACCGGTAACAAAGAATGGACGAATCCGTTGAAATGTAAGACAACTATAAGCGCATGAATGTGATCCAGCAGCGAGCTAACTGGCTGCTAGCATTCTGACACTTGCATAGAAGTACTGTCGCTTCTTGACAGCATAGTCACATCCCGATAAATCACGAAGTCGAGTGTATTAAAAGGCAAAATCATAAAAAAAAGAAGTCTGTTCAAATTTGCATTGTGTATAAAATGCATTGGTATCTCGTCTGATAGGTTTGAGGCTGATGTTTACATATTGTATCCCAGAATGCTTTTCACGGGACTTGTGCGACTGACCTTTCATTTTTACTGATGACTTCAAAAGCGCTGTGATGACGCAATAACACAAAATAAAAGCATGCATTTTATTTTTGTAGACCATTTAGGGTATCGAAGAGTTTTGTTTCAGACTGCAGGTTACTGGTTCTAGAAAGCTCTTCTGTCAAGTGTCGTCTTTGCCCTTTTTGAGATTATAAAATAACGTAGAAGCAGCACTTACTGTTGGATTTATGCTACTTGTGACAGTAGCTACTGTCTATTTTTTGAATGGTTTGGTTGAAAGTAGGAAACTTACCTTCCTCCTCACAAAATCTACCAGAATAAGCAGACATGCACATGTCTATAACACAGAGTCCTTATTTAACTACATTTGCATCTTCTGTTTTGATTAGCACGCTGAGGTTTTATCTTAGCATTTTGTTAGTCTGGACATAAGTTTTCATGTGTATGTTCTGAATGCACAGCTTTTCATTGCTAAAATGTTGTATGAATTGAATTGTATAATTAAGGTAACAATGTATTGGTTAACAATGTGTTGACATGAGGCCTTACAAATGAATCAAGAACAATTTTATTGTAGACACGTATTTAATTGATTTAATTTCATACATCAGTCATGTATAAGACAGACAGCAGCATCAAGAAAAAAAAAACAGTTGTTAAAGGTAGAAAAAATAAATAGCTTGTAAAAGGAAGCTATAACAATAGCATTGTGCAGACCTTCATTGAAGGGATAGAATGCTTTAGTTTCAAATATGCACCATTTCAAAACTTGCATAATTTTGACTCAAATGGAATGCAAATCTTTTCTCTCGTATTTTCAAATTCTTACAGAGTCTATTCAATTACATTACAGGCTAAGTCAATTTGCAGGTATCAAATTAAATTAAATTTTGCCATATGTGAAACGGCTCTTGCAACAAATATCAGTGCTCTTCTGGCTAAAGGGAAAATTTCAGAAATATCAGCCATGTCTGCTCAGAACTGTTGCGTTTAAATAAACTGTTTACCTATAGTTGTCTCATTAAATAAAATAATATTTATTAACAACATTCAGATTATTATTTTTTCTCTTCATTCCTATAATGGGTGTGTGGGTGGTAGATTTTTAAATGCATTTATACAGTGTCAACTAAAGCTAAGGATAAGTAAGGACAAATGAACAGAATATAGATTGCAAAGATGCATGCAATGTCAATGTGTCTTTCACAGGAAATGTATTTTCTCTTTTTTGTGTCTTAGTAATCATTGCAATTATCCAATAATATACAGTAATTATCCACTTCTAAATGAACATTTAGCAAATAAATTATTTTCTCCTGTAAACTCACATATGCCAGTATCGGTTATTTTAAATGATCCCATTTAAGTAATGTGCACCAGTGGATGCCAATAGAAAAATTAATTAATTTAAGGCACACTTTGCAGTCTTTACACTGTTGCTCTCAGGCTGGCATAGCTTGTTGCCTAATGGCTGTATATATGTACAGAAAGACCAACAGTGTGAGAGAAAATGCAATTCCACTTTGATTCTTCATTACAAACTAAAATCATTCATCCAAATCAACAGTCATAACCAGGCAACATTTTAAAGGTAAAATCAGCATATTTGTATCTATTCCAACAGCTCTTATCTGTGTACGCTGTTCACATACATCTATTGTGTGACCAGTAAAGGACTGTACTTCCAAATATTGTTTCCTCCAGTGTTGTAATTTGAAAAATCTGAAAGCCTTTGAGGGTGATACCAGTATTAAAAGTAATAGATATAAATATGAAACAGACCCAATGCTACAAAACATAAGCTGGCAATTAAAATAAATGTGTGAAATTAATTAGTCTAGCATGTATAAAGATACTAAAATGCAGTCCGTTGTGGACAATTCTAGAAAGGTGGATGCTCTGACTTGAATAATTTATGTGACCACCTTTGAACAGAATTTCAGCAGGTTTGTGCAAATGTTTTCCAAAGGACTCCAACGACCATGAACATTATGAAGCTTGTATTGACTGAGGTAGATCTCCGTGGGAGGTTACCTTTGTGGTTAAAAGAGAATTAGATTAAACCATGATATAGATAATAATTCATATCAAATGTCCTGGTTATGCTTGATAAGTCATCTCCAATCTAATGTTCTATCCTCCCAAGATCTTCTTTGCTTGTTTCTGAAGCTTTTTCTCAGTCACTAGAGACACAACGGATCCCACCACCTTCTCATTCTCTACTACTCCACACAATGTCAGTTTTAGCAGTCCTGGTAAAAACATTCCCCTACAACTACCTCTGGCCTCTTGTCTGGGTTGCACTTCTCATGCCCTAGAATCTTGCCCGTGTAGTCCACGCAGACTACGGTGCGGTGGCGCTGTCCGACACCACAAGTCTGTGAGCATGCTGACCATGGCCCCATTTGCCACATGGGACAGGGCAGATCCCCACAGGGCCGGATGTCTGCCGGTCGCAGGTCGGCATCACAGAGGTAAGACAAGGATCCCTCCCCATCTCTACACTCCACGCTTCTCCTGGACCATCCAGCACCACAGCTCTTGGAGCACTCAGACCACTCACCCAGGACCCAGTCAGCTCCCCCAAAAGGTAAGATGACATGTGGCGAAATTCTGCTCTCTGTGCCTGGCTTGCTAAAAGGCACATCCCTCGGCAAAAAGAAAGTATACTTGATCCTAGGAGGTGAGGTGTCCCCAGCGGTGGACAGCAGCTGGATGGTGATGGGCTCCCAAAGTCTGTAAAAGCTGAAGAGTCGTTCCAAGGTGGTGGAAGAGCCGCTGTAGCGAAGCATGGCGCCAGGCACTGGGATGTCCTGCTCTGCCATAAACACTGAGAAATTCCCATTCAGGATGTAGGTTCCATCTTCTGCCTTTACCGCCAAGTAGTTACCATCGTGTGCGATGCCTCGATGACTGCGTTGTTTTATGTCAATATTAGTCGCCCCAGCCGGGATGGTAACTACATCAATGTAGCCAATACTGTGGAGATATTATAAGTAAACAGTATATCATAAACTTGGGTGATATGAATATCGGTACAATATTGGTTATCGGCCCACATTAAACTCTTAAAAGTATAGTTCACCCAAAAATGAAAATTCTGTCATTAGTTACTCACCCTCATGTCGTTTCAAACCCGTAAGACCTTCGTTCATCTTCGGAACACAAATTCATAGTTCATATAAATAAATAAAGTCTTTTTTTTCTTTCTTTTGCGCACAAAAAGTATTCTCGTAGCTTTGTATAATTGCGGTTGAACCACTGATGTCACATGGATTATTTTACTGATCTCCTTGCTACGTTTCTGGACTTTGGGAATATTTCAGTTGCGTTGCTGTCTATGCAGGGTCAGACAGCTCTCAGATTCCATCAAAAATATCTTAATTTGTGTTCCGAAAATGAACGAAGGTCTTACGGGTTTGAAACGACATGAGGGTGAGTAATTAATGACAGAATTTTCATTTTTGGGTGAACTAACCCTTTAAATATAAGGGTTCTTTATTAGCATCTATGCTTCCATGAAATACCTTTAACATCCATGGAATCTTTGCATTGCACAAAAGGTTCCATGTAGTGGGAAAAGGTTCTTTAGATTATTAAAATGCTTTTTTATTCTGAGGGTGTAGTCACATTTCGCAAATCTGCAAAATTGTGTGTGCAAAATACAGTCATTCCAATAGTAATCCGTGCGATCAGAAGTTTTGGGTGAGGACGAAAACCTTCCCCATGCAGGTTTTGGTCACATGAATTTTCCGCATTGAATAATAAAAACCTGCTTGTTTAGAAAGTGACTTGTGCGTGAGGGGTGCTTTATACATCTCTACACTACAATAGAGGGTATGCATTGATGTCACTTTCATGACGGAACATGCCCACTCAGTCGGACTGAGAGGTAAAATATTTTGCAACTTGTCTGGCGCTAGTAGAGGAAACTGTGAAAACAGGAGTAAAACAATTTAACAGCTTGAATTAAAGGCAGTTGGACTCAAAGAACCAGCAGCCCATGGATCTGTTTGACAGCAACATAGCTCTACATACACATGATCATCATCATCATGTCACCCAGCCATAAAATATGTTAAAGGCAGAAATTACATTATGTCTTTCTGTAAAGCTGCTTTGAAACGATGTGTATTGTGAAGTGCTGTATAGCATATTGAGGTGAAATCAAAGTGGCGAGAACACCAATGGATATTTTGGTTGTTTCAATATATTTTGTAGAAACTGCATTTTGTTTTCACTGCATTCAAGCTGAACACTAATGCTGCCACTCAGGTGGGCACAACCACAGTGAATTCTGCCTACTGTGACATCATGTGCATATCCTCTATCCACCTTTTTCTTCAACGTGGAAGTAAGCCTATGGGTGATACTTCCGGATCATTAACCGCTATAGGTAAATAACGAGGAGAATAACAACGTGCAGTAAACGGTAAAACCGTTTGCACTACAAACCAGTGTGTTCATAAATAAGATAATACATTAAAATAATCTGATAAGACACACCAATTTTCAATATCAATTTTGTACAGCTAAAAATAGCTGGATGCAGACGAGACTGGAAGCCAGACCCATAGAATTTACAAATGGCCGCGCCCATTTTTACGACAAGAAAAAGGTGGATAATGGACCTTTTTTGTTAGCAAAATTTTGCTGCAATTTCACTACCGTGACCACACCTTAAGTCAAAAATGGTTCTTTTAAGAACTGTTCACTGAAAAATGGTTCTTCTATGGTATCACTGTGAAAACCCCCTTCTGGAGCTTGGAATTTTGAATTAATCGATATGATATTGGATACTTAATTTGAACATGATCATTTATCCTACTTTTACAGTTATACTACCTTAGCTGTCTTCTAAAGCTCACTTAAAGACAATCTATAAAAAATTGAATAATTTAATAACACGGTTTAATTATATTTAGTATATCAGCAGCTCATTCCTTTCCCAGTTTTTATGTTCCATAATTTGAAATGGTATTAGTAATGCTTATATATACAATATTTGAAACAACATGAGGGTGAGTAATTAATGACAGAATTTTCATTTTTGGGTGAACTAACCCTTTAAATATAAGGGTTCTTTATTAGCATCTATGCTTCCATGAAATACCTTTAACATCCATGGAATCTTTGCATTGCACAAAAGGTTCCATGTAGTGGGAAAAGGTTCTTTAGATTATTAAAATGCTTTTTTATTCTGAGGGTGTAGTCACATTTCGCAAATCTGCAAAATTGTGTGTGCAAAATACAGTCATTCCAATAGTAATCCGTGCGATCAGAAGTTTTGGGTGAGGACGAAAACCTTCCCCATGCAGGTTTTGGTCACATGAAT